ACACTGCCGACTCATGTTCATCTTGGAGTCCACTAGGACTCCAAGATCCCTTTCCTCTTCCGTGCCACCCAGCAGGTCATTCCCTAGGCAGTAGGTATGCTGGACATTTTTCCTCCCTAGGTGCAGCACTTGGCATTTCTCCTTGTTGAATTGCATTCTGTTGTTTTCTGCCCATTTGTCCAACCTATCCAGGTCTGCTTGCAGCTGTTCCCTGTCCTCTGGCGTGTCCACTTCTCCCCAGTTTTGTGTCATCCGCAAACTTGGACAGAGTACACTTCACTCCCTCGTCCAAGTTGCTGATGAAGACATTAAAGAGTATCGGTCCAAGGACCGAGCCCTGCGGGACTCCACTGCCCACACCCTTCCAAGTCGATACCGACTCATCCACCACGACTCTCTGGGTGCGACCCTCTAGCCAATTCGCCACCCACCGGACTGTGTAGCCATCCAAGTCACAGCCTCTTAACTTGTTCACCAGTATGGGGTGGGATACCGTATCGAAGGCCTTCCTGAAGTCTAAGTATATGACATCTACCCCTACTCCTGTGTCCAGGCATTTTGTAACCTGGTCATAAAAAGAGACTAGATTAGTCAGGCATGATCTGCCTGCTATGAATCCATGCTGGTTTCCCCTCAGCATAATTTGTCCTGCCGGGCTCTCGCAAATGTGAGCCTTGATAATTTGTTCAAAGACTTTGCCAAGGATGGACAGATGAACATGATTATGCCAAGTAAAAAGTAAGGGCAGGAGAGAGGACTTACCATACCTCACCTGCTCCACAGTAACTGTTTTGCATGTCTGCTCACACGCTTAACTTGCAGTACGTTGTTAATCTGTCCATACCCTTTGTTTCATTCTCATTCAGCCAATTTCTAGTATGTGGCAGAATTTTATACTTCTTCTCCCAGGACATTTCTTTATCTTAGTAGCAAAATGACTCAAACTTTTTTGAGAATCCAAAAACATTATGTAAGTTAGCTGTTTATACACTTTTTGTGTTGACACATTTAAAATGCTTGATTAAGAAGCATATTTTTCTTCTAGTGTGATCATTTTACCATTTAGGCCATTTCTCTGCATTATTTCCACTACTGTGTCATTCATACTTTAATACCTATTATGAGTACTGAGAGAAGTTATTTGGATAAAAGAGATGTGTCCACATCTGGAAAAACAACTTCT